ATATTTACTCTCACTACTTTTATTCAACACTGTAATGGAGACTCCAACTGGGAAAACTGGGCAAGAAAAAGGAATAAAAAAGACATTCAGACTGGAAAAGAAGTAAAATTATCTTTATTTGCAAATGACATGATCTTGTATACAGGAAATACTAAGAAAGTGACTAAAAACTATTAGGACAAATACACGAGTTCAGCAAAGTTGTACAAGATCAATATACAAAAATCAACTGATTTTGTACCTTCTATACATTAGCAATGAGTAATCTGAAAATGAAATTAAGAAAACAATGCTATTTATGATAACATCCAAAAAGGATAAAGCTACTCTAGGATGAACTTAACAAAAGAAGTGAAAGATCTGTAAAACTATACTGAAAACTGCAAACACTGTTGAATGGAAAAGTAATTCTTGTTCATAAACTGGAACACTTAACATTGTTAAGATGGCAATACTCCTGAAATTGATCTACCTATTCGATGTAATACCTACCAAAGTCACAACTGGCTTTTTTGCACAAATTCACAAGCTGATCCTAAAATTTACAGGGTAATGCAAGAGTCCCAGAATAGCCAAAACACTCTTAAAAAAGAACAAAGTTTGAAGACTCATGCTAAACAATTTCAAATCTCACTATAAGGCTACAGTCATCAGTGTGGTAGGATACAGATAGATATGTAGATCAGTGGAATAGAATTGAGTGTCCAGAAATAATTCCTTATATTTCTGGTCAATTTATTCTCAACAAGGGTACCAAGACAACTTAATGGTGAAAGAACAGTCTTTTCAACAAATGGTGCTAGAACAACTGGACATCCACAAGCAAAAGAATGAAGTCAGAGCTCTTACTGCATACCACGTTTGACAGTTAACTCAAAAATGGATAGTCACATATGTAAGAGCTAAAACCATAAAACTCAGTCGAAAATATAGGTGTAAATCTTTGTAAACTCGGGTTAGGCAATAGTTTCTCAGATATGATCCAAAAGCATAGCAACACAAAGAACAAACTGGACTACATCAAAATTAAAAACATTAGTTCTTGAAAATACACCATCAAGAAAGTGAAAAGACAACCCTGAGAATGAAAGAAAATATTTATAAATCATCCATCTGATGAGGGACTTGTATCCAGAATATACAAAGAACTCTCACAACTCAACAATAAAAAGACAAACAATCCAATTAAAAACTGGGCAAAGGATGTGAGTAGACATTTTTCCAAATACATACACATGGCCAATACGCATGTGAAAAGATGGTCAAGAGGGAGTTAGGCCTGGTCTCAATCTCTCCTACAACAAAAACCCATTGTAGTACTAGCCCCTTTAAAATAAATAAAGTCTTTTATAGCATCTTAAAAAAAACAAAACTCAACATCATTAGCCATTAAGGAAATCCAGATCAAAAATAATAGTAAGTTTCTCCCTCCCACCCACTAGGATGGGTATAATTAAAATGACAAACAATAATAAGCGTTGGCTGAGATGTGGAGAAACTGGAGACCTCACGTCTTGCTGGTGGGAATGTAAAATGCCGCAACCACTTTGGAAAACAGTTTGGTAGTTCCTCAAAATGTTAATCATTGAATTACCATACGACCCAGCAATTCCACTCCTATGTGAAAATAAAAAGATGTACACAAAAACTTACATATGAATGTTCTAAGCAGGATTGTTCATAATATCCAAATAAATGGAAACAAACCAAATGTACATCAATGATGAATAGACAAAAGGTGGTATATCCGTACAATAGAGTATTACTTGGCCATAAAATCGGAAGAAGTACTGATACATGTGATAGGATGAACCTTGAAAACACAATGCTAGGTGAAAGAAGCCACAGAAACCTCACATTATATAATTCTTTTATAAAAATGCCCACAGTAAACAAATCTATTGAGACAGAAAGTAGATAAATGTTTTATGGCAAAGGGTGGGGAGGTGGGAGGTGGGGAGGAGAGTGGGGAGTCACTGCTAAAGAGTGTAGGGTTTATTTTGGGGTTGATAAAAATGTTCTAAAATTTGGATCACGTGGATAGAGCATAACTCTGAGTACACTAAAAACATTTGCACATTTTATATTTTTTGGTACTGAATTCTATCTCAATGTTTATATATATATATATATTGCACGTACCTCAATGTATATCTTTATTGAGATATAATTTGCACACTATAAAATATACAAAAATATACCTTTTAAAACAAGAATAACATATGAAAGGAATTAACTTGTTAAAAAAGAAAATAAAGTAGATATTCGAAGACGAGCTAGCAGAACTCTGCGGTAGTCCACTGACTGGCTTAGACGAGGGTGGTACTGATGAAGAAGTACATGGAAAGATTTCAAAGACATTTAGGAAGACTTGATAATCTAGATGTGGAGGATGAGAAAAGAGCAGGTATAAGGATGACTTGCACTACAAATTTGCTTGTTTGCTCTATCTCTGCCAGAAATTGTTCAATATGGTTCACGAAGATGATCTTTGAAATGGGTCACAATTATGTGTAGAAGCTTGTCAGACTTTGGGAAGGTAGGTAGGGGAAGGGGAAAGGTCATTTCAGGAGATGCCCCTGCTGGAGAACCTGTGGCCTCGGGGCCACATGTGACCTTCCAGATCCTTGAGTGTGGCCTTCTGATTGAATCCAAAATTTGGATTCAGTCAAGGGGCCACACTTGGGGATCAGGAGGGCCACATATGGCCTTGAGGCTGCAGGTTTCCCACAGAAAATATCAGGAAAAGACAAAGCTTAGGTATGGCTGCAGCGAGAAGGACTGTGAAAGCTTGACAGTTGGAAAGGCCCTGCAGGCAATGGGGAGTCATTAGAGGTTTTTAACTGAGCACAGAAGTGCTTCTTGGCCTTATAAAAAGAAAAGGTAACCCCAGCTGCAATGTGAAGAATAAACGGGGAAGAAGAATGACTGGAGACCAGGTGACCTATGAAGGAGACTGTTGCAGGAGGCCAGGAGAGATCTCTGTAAGCCATGACCAGAACTGCTACCCTGTAACTCTCAGTAGGATAGATAATAATGCAAGAAATAACCAGTAAAGAAACTTGGCTACGACAGAGCCTCCACGACGAATTACAATATGGAGCTCAAACAACAGATGAGCCTTGATGTATTTGGCACCTGCCCACCCCCACCCATCCACCTAGAGGGCTGCAAGTACAGTTTGGTGCTCCTCTGACCTGGGGGAGTTCTCATATTCCTTAAAGGCTGCTTAGAACACCCAAATTTTAGACTATGAGAAACAAAGGCACCAGGGAGACTCCCTTCATCTGTAGTATACCCTTGACCTCATGTTTTTCTTTGCACTACTCATCGTTGGTTCAACAGTAAGGCAAAGTATAAGCAATGTTAGCCAGGCCTGAGTCTTCATTCTTGCCAATCCTCAAAGAAGGCTGAGTCAATTTTAAGAAACTATGACGTCCTAACAGCTGACTCTTATATTTTAGATAAACTGAAAACATCTTAATTTATTAAATTGTCTTTTATGCTCTGATATCTCCTATTTTGGTCTATTCAGATCCTAACTTAAAGACTTTCCAGACATTGCAATTTGCATTCATTGAAATCATAAAGACAAAAAACACAAAATGTGGTGCACCTTACAGTTGTACTTGCACTCCCTTTGTATCTAACATATCGTTGGTACACCTAATTATAACTGAAATCCCAGCATGACTAAGCTTACCCAAAAGATGGTGGCATTCAGGCTCTAATCACTCCAGTGCCAGTCTACGCTTCCGGCTGAATCTCTTACTATTCTGCTTGTCATGCCACACTACAGCCACACTTGCCTTATGTTATTTCCCAAATACACCACACATGTTCACATCTCCATGCCTTTGACCATGCTCTTGTCTCTGGAATAACAAACAAATAAGGAATGAGGTAACTCATACTCCTGAGCACCTACTACGGGCTAGATACTTAATGTACAATTTATGTTAACAATCTCATTTAATCTTCACAGCAACTCTGTAAAGTTAGTATTATTTTTCCTCACTAATGGCAAAATCCATTGCCTATTAAGGAATACCTCAGAACCCCTTCCAAATGGTGAAACCTTTCTGGTGTTACAGTCCTTTGCTCTCACCAAACCTTTAAAGTTAACACAACCTAATAATCACCAGGATCTGCTTCACTATACTAAGACAACAATCATGACTTACTGGTTTTTCACTTCTGCTTAACGGATTATAGGTGCTCAACAAATGCATGTCAAATTTAAATGACTGGTCCTGTGCCTTAACTCGAGCAAACGGCTATTTCATCCTTCCGGATCCCTTTAGATTTTCCCAGCACTGCAAGTGAAATAAACTGAGCTTCATCAGTAATCCCTCCGAATCTCTCCCTCTACCGTAGCCTTCCACCCTCAGTATTGTATTGCTAATGCATCAGTATCTTCCCGGGGTAGGCAGCTAAAGGGCAAGATCAGTATCATCCACATTCTTGTCCCCAGACCTTAGCAAGATAAAAAACGCTCAATTGTTTAGATGAAATAGAACAATCCCTCAAAACTAACTTTCTAAGATAAAATGAACAAGAAGAAAAACGGTTCCAGCTAAACAGCTTCAAATTTAAGATTCTTCATTATAATAAAGGGCATTCTCACTGCAGCTTCTACAACTATACCACTGATTCCTGAGTTGACAGAAAGCCATTACACAGCAAGAATAAAGCCTGAAACAAAGATTAAATACCCGGAGTAGGTACTGACCTTGGCTTGTCTACAGAGGAAGGCATAAGCTGCGTTTCTGTTTTCCGCGCTGAATGTGGCCACTTTATAGCTAAGTCGCTGGAATTCACGTTTAGGTATCGAAAGCACGAAATACGTGCATAAGGAAACGGCCACATTAGGGTGCGGGGGGCCTGGGCTCTGCCACTCCACCTGACCTAGACCCGCGTCCCGCCCGCGGACGCTGCACGCTGCGGCCCGTCCAGAGGAGCAGCCGCCGCCTGCGCCGCGCCCGCCCCGCGGCCCTCACCTCGGTTCTCCTCTTCCAGGTGCCGCACCCGCAGCTCGTCCTCTGTCTTCACCTCAGAGCTGTAGCCCCTTTTCGGGGCGGGACCCCTGGCCGCGGGCGCCCAGCCCTGGGCCCAGATTGCCGGGCCCACCTGCCGGCCCGCCAACGAGCCGGGCAGCCTCAATCCCGGGCCGAGCCGTGCAGAGCACACGGCCACCAGGCGGGCGCGGCCAGCCTGCAGGGTACCCAAGGCCCCCGGTGCCATCGCCACCGCCGCCGCCATGTTGTCTGTTTACGGCGTGGGCCGCGGCTGTCGATCCGCCCCCGCCAGTCGCTAACCCTCCGCGCGCACGCGCACGCGCACGGCACCCAAACCTGCGGCCTCGCCCCGCCCCCGCCGCCTCGCTCCCGCGCGGCCCCGCCCCCGCCGCCTGCCTCCCGCGCGGCCCCGCCCAGCCCCACCCCGAGCCCTGGCTGAGCGCTTTAGGTCGCCTGCCCGAGGCCGCCATTCCGCGGCGCGAGGTTTAGTGGCTTGTCGGACACAGAAGGGGAGGAAGTAGTTTTCCAAGTCTGTGAAAGAGTTGAGGAGAACATACTCTGTAAGGACGACCCTGAGGGAGTCGTCTCCCCGCGCTCCCCAGGCTATGCCCCGAGTTCCCTGTGTTGAGTAGGCTGCAAAAGTGAGCTAAAATATTTGTCTCCTTAGGTTTGGCTGAAAGTGTGGCGGCTCAGCATGGGACACTGTTTCCCTCAAGTACGTCCGATCCACTGGTGTCGGTAAGCGTACCTGTACCTGGTAAACACGAGCGCTGGGTACCACACGGCATCTGGAAGGGGCGAGAGCAGCGAGTGCAGGGTCCCCTGGCCGCCCGCCTCTGCCGGCAGGCAGCCTGCCTGGGCACGAGTCCCAGCGCGGGCCACTGTCTAAACAAAGGGGATTTAGAACATAGGCCTTTTCCAGAAACTCGAAATATCAATTTAGTGTGTAGGTGATCATCAAAGCACATTATTTTAGAATTTCCGGCTACCTAACTTTTATCACATCTCAACAAGAAAGGTATATATTAGTAATACTGTTTGAAAAGTGTGCTATGAGCACGCTCCTCTTGCCACACAAATTTCTGTTACTATCCGTTGACCATTTTTGAGTCCTAAGCAAAACTTCCTTCAGTGTTATACCCTCAGCTTTTATTCAAAGTGGAAAGAAAAACCCGATTAAATTCCATTACTGCATCTGCTGTAGGGTTGGTGTTGAAGGTGCATTTTATTGTATCTTTTCTAAGGTGCCATGTGAGAAATTTCTCTTGAAGTTTAGGACAAGGAACATTTTGCTTCCTTTGTATCTTTCCTCGTTTCTGATGATGATGTTCACTTTGCGAGGTATTGGGATTTTTATTGTTATGGTTTCTTTATAATTTTGCCTCGAGGTCTTTCTCATGAGATGGATGGGAAGTGTGAAGGTGCCAGGGAGCTCAACCAGTGGAAGGGGAGCAAGGAGAGGGTACCTATGGGGCGAAAGCCTCTATTGGGGGCCAAGGGTTACCCAGGCAGTTTCCCATAAGGAGTTCTAATTGGTGGGCTTAAGCAAGCAGGCACCTGTTTCATGGAATCCCCGGTGACTTCGAGGTGGTCGTGCTGTATATCTGCACAGTCCATGAGGGGTGTGGGGGCCAGCAGGGTGGGTCAAGTAGGCTGCATCTGGCTGTCCATGCAAAGATGGTCACTGGGAGGCAGTTGTATAACACAGATAGTTGTATCAACTACCTCGAGGAACTGGAGCAGGTGGAGAGCTGTAGGCTGTGTCAAGGACGACTGAGCTGCCTGCTTCTGGTATGAGAAAGTTAAACTTATATTCAAAATGGATGCCAAGGCAACATAAAATTAAAAGCATTCACTGCACTAGGAAATGCAGAATTTTATTTACAGCTCACCCGTGACAGCTATCACAATGATTCTATTACTGTTCCCTTGATCTCTAATTGTTTTGATATCATTATGCTGGCTCATCGATAGATTGTGAATTTAAAGAAAGCAGTTATGCAGAGCACCTGGCACAGTGCTATTTAAAACAATGTAACTTCAAATAATATTTGCGATTGATTAGGAAACTGTAGAAGAATAATCATGAATTGTTTGGGTTATATAAGAAAACAAAGTAAGAAGGCCTCCCCATCGTTTCAGTGCACATAGAGCCTGACAGAAAAATGCAACATAAAAGACTATCCCCTCCCTAACATTTGTGACTCCCATCCTTATTTGGAACAGTCTTGTGGATATCCCAGATCTGTGACCAAAGTTGATTCTTAAAAGTTAATGCAAATAATAAATATCACCATGGCCATTACAACCTGTCAGGAATGACAACTACTAGCAAATTGCCAAATACCCGAAATTTGCCAAATTCCAAATCAAACAGACATGGCTTTGGATCCCAGCTCCATAATTGCTTCACTTTGAGATCAGTGAATTATTTAAATAATTCATGCTTCCATTTCTTCAGAATAGCTAGTATAATATCTATTCACCTCACGAATTCTTTAATTTCAATTTCTTCAACTATAAAATAGGAATAATTATGCTCATTTTATTGGTTTGATGAGATAAGTATATAAAACTTGGTACCAGGAAATAGGAACAGAACAGATAATATTAGCTACCATTTACCAACTTCCTCCTTATTGTATTCCAGGCATTTAGACATTTTATTTTATTTTATTATCAGAAAACTTTGAAGTTCGCATTATTACCCCCATTTTTATAGATGACGAAAGTGAGGTTAAGTTACTTACAAAGCTTGCAGCTAAGAAGCCATGGAGCTAGAATTTGAATGCCAGTACAGGCACAGACCAGGTTCTTAATCAGTGTTTTACATAGCCTTCTCATAAATGTTAAGATGTTCAATAAAATTTAATTCCCTCTGATTCCTTTGTACTTTTTAGTAAAAAATTGTCCAATATGAGACAAGAACAATGAATATCAGTTTGAGAAAGGAAGGTGGGACTTGGTGTTTGAAATGCCAAGTGTGGAAAAGGTGGGGTATTTGGAGTACTACACCCAGTAATATCCTGACCTAAATTCAAATTCGTACCGTCTCTTTATAGGATTGGAACCTTTGCCTCTATCGAGCTCTCAGCTAACAGTCTTTTTGATCTGCCACACCCTTGGCATTTTTCTGATGCTTGCTTCTATGTAAAGTTAAACGTGTGTAATACGGGATCACTAACACTGAACTCCCAAGTACAGCCTGAACCACAGAAGCATTCATTTGTAGCACCTGCTCTTGTACAAGACAGGTACCAGGGAATGGGTGTCACCCATAAAATGAAACAGTTACCAACACGTTACCAACCACAACTGTAGAGAAACAAATAGCTGAACAAACACAGTGGGAGGAATAAAGCAGAACTCTGGACTTTGAAAATGAGAGCCTGTCTTAAAACTATTGCATCTGAAACAATCAAAGCGAAAGTAATATCTTAGCATAAAGGCTGCCTGCTGTATTAAAGACACACATGAATGTGATGGCCTAAACAAGAGAGAATGTGAGCAGTCCATGAAGAGTAAGATGGTTCTCCTATCTTAGACAGGAGGCTTCCATCTCTGGGTCTAAGGTGGCTGCTCCCTGCCACCAGCAAAATGAAGAAAAGATGAGGTGATTACCCAGTTCTGTCAACGGGAAGACCAAGAAATGGCATGTATCCCTTCTACTTACTCACATCCCACTGGCCACACCAGCAACAAAGGGGGCCTAAAAAAATGTGTCCTTTCACTGGCTGCTCATATACCAAGCTAAAGTTCTACTACTGTGGACAAAGGGAATTGCAGATATTCAGGAACATAGTCTGCTACAGAGTCTTTTGATTTTTTACATTTATGTATGTATGTATGTATGTATGTATGTATGTATTTAACAGAGTCTCACTGTCACCCAGGCTGGAGGGAAATGGCACAATCATTGCTCACTTTAGCCTTAAACTCCTGGGCTTAAGAGCTCAAGAGATCCTCCTGCCTCAGGCTCCCAAGTAGCTGGGACTAAAGGCATGTGCCACTGCACCCAGCTGATTTTTTCATTTTTTATAGAGAAAACCCCTTCCTTGGGTTCGATAATTTGCTACAGCCGACTCACAAACTGAGGAAAACATTTTACTTACATTTACCAGTTTATTATTGTCAAAAGACAAAATTACAACAAATTTACTTTCAAGATCTTAATTGGCTTTTGTTTGTGATTCTAGAATCAAGCAACACTTCATCTATAAAATAAAAGGAGTGTTCCAACAAGCCCAGCAGAAAGGCTTGGTTTTTATAGACAGAAAAGGGCGGAGGAAAGCAAAAACCAGATTGGTTGTTACAAAGTTACTTTCCTTGTAAAGGTTAACCAGAGGGGGCTTCCTTATCATGCCGGCTAAAACTGGCCTGCCTGGGACGTCACTGCTATACCTCTCTCTCTCCCAAGTTCTTGGAAGGTCAGATAAACAACTTAGTTTTGGCTTGGTGACATGGAACTTCTGTGTGAGTGACTCCATTTGGTTTGGTCTTTGGGGCCTAGCGTAGAAGCTCAGTCCAAACTAATGGCCTCCTATAAATTGTATGCAACATCATAAAGGACGTTATGAAGATGTGCATGGGGGAGGAAGAGGTGCATGGGGGGAGGTCCAGAAGGGTCTCTAGACAGAGTTTCTGCCCTGTGGAGCTGGAGTGCGTGGCTCTCCTGCCAGGTGGGTGTATTCGCCACCCTCAAAGCTCTCTCAACTCCATAGTTTAGGGGTTTTATAGAGGTTCCATCACTAAGCATGATGGGTTATATCATTGTCCATAGCAATCAACTCAATCTCTAGCCCCTCTCCCCTCTCAGGTGCTGGGAAAGGGGGGTGTGGGGCAGGGAGGGAGGGGCTGGAAGTTCCAAGCATGTTTGCTTCCTGTGGCCACCTGCACCCATCCTCCATCTCATTCCATACCTTAAGAGTCACTTCATTAGCATGAACTCAGGTATTGTTGAAAGGGGTTTATTATGAGTAACAAAAGATGCTCCTCTCAGCTCATAACAAGAAATTCCAGGGGTTTTAGGAGCTCTGTTCCAGGAACCAGGGATGAAGACTAGATACATAGGTCTTATCACAATAACACAGGCCCCTTAGTGGGTTTCCTCTCCAAAAGTTTTTTCCCCATCTAATCTGAATACAGAATACATTTAATCTCTCCCTCTTGGAAACCCAGAAAATCCCATCTCTAGAGTCTTGGAGGGATCCAGTAGACCTCACCCAAGGACACTATCCCCAGAGAAAAAGTATGTTAGAGGACACCCTCTCACACTCTTCCCTGCAGCGTCTCCTTGACTGATACTGCAATCCACCCCACC